GTAAGATTGTCAGAGGGGACTGAACGGGAGAACAGATTGAGAATGGGGAAAGACACGAGAGGAAAGAAAATCAGGGACGTTCCGCACCCGGCCGAATTGGCAATGGTGAATGGGTGGAAAGTGGGACGGTTGTTGGGTTAGATTTTTATGCACCGGCGGCGGGGCCCGAGCAGGAACTGGGCATAATGTCTAATGTCTGGTCACGACTAGGTGCCTACTCCACCAACGCCACTCACGGGTGGTGAAATCTCACTCATCGGCAGTCGGCAAAGGACTAATAGACGGCTGACCAGATTCTAGAAGTATGCAGTGGTTGGGAAGGGGAAAGACTAAGGGCTGTAGAACCAATTGACAGCAACGCCATGCAAGCAGAGAGAGTTTGCGGGGTAGAAAATTATAAGTTATGAGTAACATTGGGAGTTGGTTGGTCTGAGGATGTCAACCCCGACGGAAATGAGCAGCTGATCAATTGAGCCAAGCATTTTAGCTGTCTGGCGGGGAGAGACAATAATTGAAAATGTTTGGATGTAGATAGATAGTCATGACTGCACCTGCACCGTTGATATATTCAGTACCTCGTAGATACTGATTGATTGCAGATCCTTCCATTCCTCATGCGGCTTTCCCTCGTGGCTTGTTGGCACGTGACTATTCCTGGTCTTGACATTCTTCAGGTATTGGAGAGGATCGGAACCCCGTCCCTTGAGCCTTGCCCTCACTCATACTTATGATCCGGCAGGTAGGCAGGTGGAGTGGTCCTACTATAGCAGATAAAATTTCTACTCTCATCCCGATTACTCACTCCAGGATCTGGTGTCATATCTTGTCACTCCGTATCCTACAGTCCTGTCTACTTCGCCCCGCGGTTCAACAAATGGTCTCCTGCAGGCATGTGCTCCGCTTGTATCTTGGCTCCTGTGTTAAGTAGTGGTCAAGATATTGATGTCCAGTTCGAAAGATGCCAGGACACTCGCATAGTTCGTGCCCTCTGATGAGATCAAGCCACAGGCATTGACGGTGACCAACAACAAGATGAAGGATTGAACACAATGCATCATCGATGGATCATTGTGGCTTCTGATTGCGACGAGCAGTGTAGAAACTGGACAAACTTACTCAGTAAAGCACAATGCGTTGTCGACAGGGCTGACCCTTGGTTCTTCGTTCCGGTCGGCTGGAAATCCGTATCAACGAAGCGAAATGCCAGATATCAGATAGGCCATCAGTCAGCCATGACGTAAACTGGCAATGGCTGTCTCACCATCTTGGTGTCCATGTGCCATGAATTCTCCATGCATCCTGTGAGATGCGGGCCAATACAGATTGACCACTGAGCTCCGACCGTGCTCGTTACCGCAATATCAATATACGTGACACTGCGCACCGCCCAATCATGCCGAGACAACAGCCGATCAACACGCCACTGTCATAATCCCTCGAAGCCTATTTCATCATCTCTCGTCTCATGGCCCTGGATCTTGCTCAGGGTCCTACTATCACCTAGCATGGCCGAGCATTTGGAGTGAGAAGGTGCTGGTGACCAGTGCTTCTTGTTTCCACGGGACAATGATATCATCGCTGCACACACGCGGCCCGTGGCAAGAGTACTGGGATGCATGCCCACCACCATGCTCTATAAAGGAATGCTTCAGAGCAGTGTCACTAGGTTTTTTCCCATCATTCCACTTCTCTAACCACCATAACCAGACTCCTCTTAATCAGTCCCTGTCGATAACAAAACTTACCGAACATATAATATCCATCCTACACGCATCATGTCGTCTGGAGACAACAACAACAACGGTACGTATCATCTATCTCATAAATACCTTGTTAGAATGGCTTCCGCCCTCCCCCCTTCGTAGGGAGCGATAATGCTTCCTTTGGATTTCTTTTGTGGCAAATCTGCCGCCCACTGGTTGCTAATCTGGGCTAACTAGTCAACCTCTTGCAAGGGCTGACAGACACCCTTGGCAAGACTGTCGGAGGCCTCACAGATACGGTCGGCGGTCTTGTCGGCGGAGTAGGCCAGACGGTCGGCGGAGCTACTCAGGGTCTGGGGAAGACTGTGGGCGGCGTGGGCGAAGGCTTGGGCAAGACGGTCGGAGGAGCCAGTGAGGGCGTGGGAAACACGACCAAGGGCCTCGGACAGTCGACCAGTGACACTCTGAGCAGCATCAATGGCGACCGGACTGGCGACAACGCGCGGAGGTGGTAATTGAAGGTGCGAGGTGTTTGGATGCCGATATGATACGATATGATGTGATGTGATGTGATGTGATGCGGTTTGATGCGGGCCTAATCTTCTGCTGCGATCGACTATATTTGAGTTCATGTCGATTCCTGTATTAGTATGATTTTTTTCCTCAAACTTTCCCAAACCATAAGCCTTGGTTCAAAGCTTCTTAGTATGACTTGTCGGTAGTTCGACTCTTAAAGAATTCCAGGGGGTAGATGCAGGTGCAAGCGAGACCTGTCCGGAAGAGATTCCGAGATCGGGAGTAGAAATCCATTGCGGGCGCGTCCTGGGGAAATTCCGCCTTCGGAAAACGGAGGTTTCCGCAGGGGAATCGCCCGCCAGCAGACTGGACGTCGCCGGTTGGTTGAACTGCTGCTTCCAAACAAGTCTGATCACACAAGGTCCCCTCGATGAAATTGTGACTTGGAGGTTCATATGATGGAAAAGACCATCATATCGAAAGATGGGTGGAGGTGACCCGTAGTTGACGTGCGGCCGTCAAAGCATTAGAACTCCAGCTTCCATCCAGTCTCCATAACAACAATCCAGAGCGCAATCGCCAATTTATCAGATTCCGAGCGGAACAGATACTGGATCACCGCTGGTTCCGTTCCCCAGTGGGGGTTTCCGAAGGCTTCAAGATTCGCGATTATTATGCGTATGCTGTTGTACTTACTAGGTAGTACTTGAATATGAGTATCACTGTACTCCGTACAGACGTTGCCAATTCCTTTCTCGCAACCGATTGGGTCGCATGCAACAACCACATTAGGTAACGACATCAGAGACGTATAGTAATGATCATCTTGCCTGTGAATCACGGCGAAGTATCATGCAGCTGGAGAGCTGTCTCTTAACCCCGATTGGGTAGGACTTGCGCTCATTATTGAGATATTTACCCGTAGTCGTTAGTCGCTTGTTTGTATGAAGCAGATTGGTAATATCGACTCAGTGGGCGGTCTAGACAGGAGGGCGTGCAGGACTCGAGTCGCAGTCTGCAGGTTTCTAAGCTACCTAATCAGTGGCTGGCCTGGTCCACTGACTAAGAACGATTGTCGCGGACAGGGTGACAGGGTGTGGGCGCATCGTCTCTAGGCTAGCGCAATGCATTTTCCTGGGCCGTTTCATCATGCCATGGGGGCCATCCGGCTCGATACCTCCACAAATATGGAAAATACTCAGTAGACGTCGAGGATGGCCATCGATATGATCTGCACCGGATTGTATGGCATGAGAATAGGCGTCAAAAATCAAGGGGTGGTGATTGGCTCTGGATTGAGGGGAAAGAGGGGACGCAGAGATCGGAGAAGTTGGGGAAAGGCACGGTGGGTGCGGGGTAATTGGCGTCTTCGTTGATATGGGGGTGGTAAGTCGAATACTATTATTGTTTGAGCATGTCTAGAGAGGTCAACTGAGTAATCGCTGGAGGGGATGACTGCGATCATCATGAATGTTGCTCTCTCTATCAGTTAATGCAACTGAGCTCAAGGTATCTGCAGTAGGTTTAGTCTCTCTCCGCGGAAAGACCTGCTGTTTTGACCTCGGCGCCGGGAAAGATGGATTGGCAAGTGGACCCCAACAGCAACTTGTTGACCTTCTCCCCCAGTTTCATTGGCCTCCAGTCTCATTATTCCTCTTCATCGTCGGCTCCAGCCAAGGTCAAGCTCCATCCGATGTGAGAGGAAGAAAGAAAGAGAGGGAGGAGGCCCGGGGGAGGTTCCTGGATTCATTCAGATCCCGCCCTTCCGAGTCTAGTGTTTTCTTTTCGGAAAATTCATATATTTACTACCTACTTACCCCCAGCCTCTGTCCTCCCTTCTTTTACCAAACCTACGATTACTAGTTATACATACCTCTTCTCAATTTTCCTTTCGTCTTGTCCTTTTATCTTCCCATTAGGACTATATACCCATTCTCTGTCATTACTGTATCTTCTTCAGCCATAATATTCCCCACCATCCACCATGGGTAAAGAAAACGAGCCTAGTACGTTCACTTCCTTCCTCATCATACCACCCACCATACGTAACTTGAGGTCAGAAACCAAACTAACCATTGACTTCCACCTCCAGAGACCTACCGCTACAATGAGACCCCAATTTACACTACCTCCAATGGCTGCCCAGTTCGTGCACCCTCGCTTCCCTCTTAATCGATCTTGCTTTGTCGACTTCGCCATGGCTAACAGTTTCTCGCCAGGTCATGGATCCCCAGGCCGCTCAACGAGTTGGTCGCAACGGCCCTCTGCTCCTCCAGGACTTCCACTTGATCGACCTCCTTTCCCACTTTGACAGAGAACGTATTCCGGAGCGGGTGGTTCACGCCAAGGGTGCTGGCGCCTACGGCGAGTTTGAGGTTACCGACGATATCAGCGACATTACGGTCATTGACATGCTGAAGGGCGTGGGCAAGAAGACAAAGTGCTTCACTCGTTTTTCCACCGTTGGAGGCGAGAAGGGCTCGCCCGACAGCGCTCGTGATCCCCGTGGTTTCGCCATCAAGTTCTACACCGATGAGGGTAACTGGGACTGGGTCTTCAACAACACCCCTGTGTTCTTCCTTCGTGATCCCGCCAAGTTCCCCATCTTCATCCACACCCAGAAGCGCAACCCTCAGACCAACCTCAAGGATGCTACCATGTTCTGGGACTACCTGTCCACCCACCACGAGGCCGTCCACCAAGTCATGCACCTCTTCAGCGACCGCGGTACTCCTTACTCCTACCGCCACATGAACGGCTACTCCGGTCACACCTACAAGTGGATCAAGCCTGACGGTACTTTCAATTACGTCCAGATTCACATGAAGACTGACCAGGGCAACAAGACCTTCAACAACGAGCAGGCCACTCATCTGGCCGCTGAAAACCCGGATTGGCACACTCAGGACCTGTTCGACGCCATCCAGCGCGGCGAGAACCCCTCCTGGACTTGCTACGTCCAGGTCCTGAGCCCCGAGCAAGCTGAGAAGTTCCGTTGGAACGTCTTTGATTTGACCAAGGTCTGGCCGCAGAGCGAAGTACCCCTGCGCCGCTTCGGCAAGTTCACCCTGAACAAGAACCCCGAGAACTACTTCGCCGAGGTTGAGCAGGCCGCTTTCTCCCCTTCGCACATGGTCCCCGGCGTCGAGCCCTCGGCCGACCCCGTCCTCCAATCCCGCCTCTTCTCCTACCCTGACACCCACCGCCACCGTCTGGGCGGCAACTACGAGCAAATCCCCGTCAACTGCCCGCTCCGGGCCTTCAGCCCCTGGCAGCGCGACGGCTACATGAACGTCAACGGCAACTACGGCGCCAACCCCAACTACCCCTCCACCTTCCGCCCCTACCGCTACCAGCCCGTCAAGGCCAGCCAGGAGCACGAGAAGTGGACGGGCTCGATTGTCACGGAGCAGCTCCCCATCACCGACGACGATTATGCCCAGGCAAACGGTCTCTGGCAGGTCCTCGGCCGCCAGCCCGGTCAGCAAGACAACTTTGTCCACAACGTCGCTTCCCATCTCTCGGCTGCCCACGAGCGCGTTCGCCAGGCCACCTATGCCATGTTCAAGAAGGTCAACCCCGACCTCGGTGCCCGCATCGAGAAGTCGACGGAGGCCAAGGCCACTGGTGTCAAGTCTGCCCGTCTATGAATCAAAATTCGCTTTCTTTTGGCCTTTCTTACTGCCCCAGCAAAAGAGCCCACGAAAGTCGCCCACTCCATTTAGCGATGATCCAGCCTGTGTGTCTTTTTCCTCTGTAAATGTGACAGAAGCACCCTCACGAAGTTCCTCGATCTGAAATGATACCTTTGACAATTCTCTTTTAGCTTTGCGTCTCGTATTTCTTTCAAGAGTGTCGGTGTATACGTAGCTCTCCAGCAGTCCCATGTGTTGAGGTTGCAATAGTGTCGTGGTTCCTTGGTAGTACCAGTAACGGACAAGAGGCAATTTGAATGATCTCTCAAGATATTGCGTGTATGTAGATATATATATGACTTTGATATGATGTAGTCCCCAAGAAAACGCCCAGAACAGCACACAGCACAAGGATGGAAGGACACGCAACTCGCAAGCCAAGGAGCTTTATTCCAGAAAGTAAATGCAACTGTGCCCAAGTAAAGAAAGCGACAAACCTACCGTTTCCAGACCCTAGCAAATGTTTGTCAACAGAAGAATGTGAAGGGTTAACCAAGAAGACCCAGAATGAAATGCTCAAAATAACTTGGAAAGAAAAATCAAATAGTAGTTGCACATGTTGCGCCCGCTCGGAAATACAAATTCGACGGCCCCTTGCGAGGGCTCAAGTCTTGGATGCGATGATAGTCAAAACAGACCAGAATTCTAGATTTGGAGGGAGTTCTGCGGTGGTGGAATGGAGCCGCAGGGCTTGAGTTGAGGGCGGAAAGATGCTGAATGGATGGCCCCCTCTAGGAAGGGAGAGTAGGGGCAGGGGTGATCAGATGTTCGTGCGGGGTCGGAGCGTCCCAGCAACCCCAGAAGAAGCCGGGCTTGCCGCATTTGGAGGTCGTGTCGGGAGGCGGCGTCCTGGAGGCTGTGGCTGTGGCGGTTGTTGTGGAGGTGGGGTCGCGACAGCCGAACCAGCCGGGATGCTTGCAAGTGGTGGTTGATGAGATGGGTTCGGTGGTCGTGATGGATGGTGCGCTGGTCGCGTCTGAGGTAGTGGTCGCGTCTTTACAGCCGAACCATCCTGGAGTCTTGCAGGTGGATGTAGATGTCGATGTGGTCGTCGTTGGTGGCTCTGTTGTGGTTGTCTTGTCTAAGCATCCCCACCATCCTGGGGTCTTGCAGGTCGATGTTCGGGTATTGGAGAAGGAAGTCGACGTAGATGTGGCCGTGGTCGTCGTCGTGGTGATCTCGGAGCCGTTGCTGCGGAAGAACTTCCAGAGTTCGCAGTCATAGCATTCTTCCTCGGGGGCGCAAGGCGGCAAATCATCATAGTCCTCAAGAACGTTAGAGATAATGAATTGGATGCGGTGTCTGGTCATCCCGACACGCCAGCCTTTGTCTTCCACGGTGTCATAAACACACATCTGACCCGTGTGGCATGCAGACTCCATGGCATAACCACCCCACGTGCATACAGAACTAACGCCGTTGCATGTCCCCATGTACACGGGGTCTGCAGTGTGGCCGAAGTGGTAAGACCCGGTGAACTTGCGCGACTGAGGGAATCGTGAATCATGACCTGGGGGGCTGGGAAGACCAAGGCGAGCGGCAGGTAGGGCTTCTGGCACGGCCTCAAAGGTGACCGCTGGTACGCCGACCGTCAGGCCTAGTAAGCTGGCCACGGCGCCACCCAAAGAATGGCCTGCTAGCCATATGTTGGCATCTGGGTACATTTCAATCACGTTGGAGTAAAGGTCCAGCGAAGCACGGTAGTATCGATTTTCGTCCTGCATTGCCTCGACGATGCACGTGAGATTGGCCGTATACAGCGATGTCTGGCAATCGCACACCTGGCGCCAGAGATATGAACCTCCCTGCCCACAACAGCAGCTGAACATAAGATTATCGTTGAGCTTATCATTTGTGGTGGTGCCTTCTCCGTCGAAAACCGCCGGCGATGTGCCTTTGATAGAAATGACGACAGTACTGTTTGTCTGGTCGGCGTAGACGTGCCCTCGGAGCCCGTCACCCTGCCACCCAAAACTCCCGGAATGATTGAAGCGACCATGTATATCTTGCCATTCACCCGTACCTGGCTCTTCGATATAATCATTTGCAGTCATCTTTGCCATCGTAATGACTGTGTTTTTGTCTGTAACATTGGGACCGGCCAGCGTATCCATGACCCAGGCATCTGGTGACAAAGCCACCGCCGATCCTGAGGACCTGGCGGCTAATAGATAATCACCGATAACTGAAAGACGTCGATCTGCGAGCCGTTGGATGGTGAGTGGCTCGGAAGTTGCAAGCAGCGGGGTATTGACGGCGACAGGTTCGGATTCAAGGCCATCCTCTGAGACGGCCCGAAGACGGGTCTCTGGCTGGATGTCCAGCCTTAGGTGGAGATTGGGGTCTTGATACGTCCCTCGATGGAATAAGTGGCGAAGTGTCTACTTGATCAGTGGCCGTACGACAAAGACAGGGTTGCAGCACAGATCTGTCCGACTTACAAATTCATGGGTGCCGGATAGCGATGGTGAGTCCGCTAAAGGGATCTGGGGGGGAAGAAAGGGCGACGATTGTCGGGAGCCGAAGTATACGGGCTGATAAGCGGAGACAAGGCCTGGGAGCAGTGCTACAGGCCAGAAAAGATCCGAGATCTTAGTATCCCAGAGGGAACGTTTTCTCGCTCGTCCTCGATAGCTATTCATGGCGATATGCGGGGGGAGGGGGGAAGAAAAGAAGATATGGGGATGCAGGGATGGATGCTTGAAGAGGCAAGAGAGTGATCCAAGTCGAACGGAGATGGCGATCTACTGTTCCGCGGTAACTGACCTACTGACCTGACTTGACCTGACTTATCAATGGGGAGGCGGTGAATGACGCACCTCATAACTACTAGTAAGTTATCATTAACTAATGCGGAGGTCCTCACTGCCCGCCCACGTGACCCTCCCCCTCCCCCGAGTCCCCGTCCCGTTCCTTTTCCCAAGGCGGAAGTTGTTGACAATTCCCGGCCTGGTGATTCTCTTCCTAACTTATACATCGAGTGCTGACTGCAGTGACGGGCAGGCCGATCTCCATGGTACTCCTGCGCCGCTGTGGCTTGCTGTCTTTCATCATGCTTGTGCGAGTGTTCTTCTCTTAAAACTCGATTGATCTCCTTTCATCTGCATTTCTTTCTCTTATTTGTGTCTGTTTTCCATTGGGTTTCTATCCCACTTGGGGATTTCCAGCTGTCATCTAGTCTAACGCACTGGCCCCCCCCCCCCCCATACATACCTCGATCTGCATACGCCTATCACCTGGAAGTGAAGGCTCCATCACTTGACCTAATATCACATTCAAAGGTTTGACTGCAGGAACTATGTCAGTCAACACTCCCGATCATGGCGTTGGAAAACCACGCCTCCATACTGCGCGCTCGTTCCCTAGAATGGATTCATCTGAGCCCAGCCCTTTCATCCGCTCCAGAGCCAAGACCGTCCAGTCGGTGGCAATCCCAGAACTGGTAGACTCGGAATCGCTTCCTTTGCCTCTATCGTCAGCAGAAGATGAGCAGGATTCCGGCCCAGACCTGTTTGAAAAGACCGGCTCCCCGGACTTGACACACGACGAGGGCGGACATGGAGAGGAAACGTCGGTTCTTACGCGAGGCATGCAAGACCACACGGAAGAGCTTCCCATCGAGCTGATCAGTCTTACCGATAGGTACAGTCTTTTTGCTAGGCTGCCGCTAGTCCTGTTCAACACGATTGCTAATATGATGTTATGCAGATTCGTCAACTCCCTCACTGCCAAAGTTCACTCGTCACCGCCAACGGCCGACAGGGTATCAGATCGCTTTCAAGAATTCTACGAACGGGCCGAGGCACATATCGCTACCCATATATCAGCTCTTGCGTCACGCATAAATCGTGATCCGTCGCCGTACGGCAGCAGAGGGAACTCGAACACTCAGGGCTCGGATGGGCGGCAGATGCTGACTGCCTCGGAAGTGACAGAAAAGAGGATCGCTCGGAAGCACCTAGCGTCCAAGCGCATTGCTCTGGAGGAGGCTGTAGAGCGGAAGGCTTGCGAGAGCATTTATGACAAGTTATGGAGGCACAAAAGCACCCTGGATGAAATTAGGGACGAAAAGTTACGCTCAAAGACGGCGGCGCTTCTCCTGGTTGGCATAAACCTAAAAGATCTTGGGATAGAGCTCGATGTAAGCTCTATCAGTGAGGAGAAGCAGAAAGAGGCCGATGACTGTCTTTCGATCGCCCGTGATTGCCTAGCAAAGATGAACGACGAGAAATATCCTTTGGGCAAGCTTCAACAACTGGCCGCCGCGCACAAGGCCATAGTTGATGCTCTGACTAAGTTACTGCCGTCATCATCGTCTGCCGATGAGATTCTACCTACTTTGATCTACTGTCTCATCACCAGCCCTCCCGAAGGGATGAACGTCATAAGCAATCTGCTCTTCATACAGCGATTCCGATCATCCAGTAAGATGGATGGTGAGACCGCATACTGTTTGACGAATCTTGAGGCCGCTATTAGCTTCCTCGAGAATGTAGATCTGTCTGACCTTCGCGGAGGAGCGCTGCATGAAGACCAGACCAAACCCTCGAGTGATGATTCGACGACAGTCACGAAGACTGACTCCCCTCAGCCTACCAAGGACACACCAGTGTCGTCGGTCACATCAGCGACTGCCTCACCCGAACTATCGAGGCCAGCTGGACCAGGAGCATCAGCCACATTTCCCAGAACACAGTCTACGAGAAATACTCAACAAGGCCGGCTGAATAACCTATTCCAGCCTCCTGCGAAGGTGCTTGGTGCTGCGAACGACGCAGTCCGTAACACCGCAGATCAGGGCTTGAAAAATATAGGTGCATCGTTGGACAGCAGTTTCAACTTCCTTTTTGGTCGCTTGAAAGAATTACAAACTACTCAGTTTGCTACCAAAGACGGAGGAAACGCAGTTGTGCCAAAGACACTAGCAGAAGCTCGACGTCTGGTTACGTCGCCGATTGCGTCTGAGAGCAGTCTGAACCCTGATATCAATGCAGCCCGCGAGCCTCGTGCCACTGATCGACCGCAACTGCGGCGAATTGGCTCCAAAGCAGAAGACACTCTCTTAGGGTTGGTTGGTGGTCAGAGAACGCCTCGCGATCGAAGTGCGGACAGCGTTCGGACGCAGGGTAGCGCCCCGAAGACGGGCGTCTCTTCAGGTCTGCAGAAGGATGAGTCTCAGGCATCGCCTGCAATGTCCTCGTCAACATCGACACCTACGCCCCTCGAATCCATGCGGAGCTTTGGGAACACGCTCAACCCACTTAATCACATTCCTGGCATGATCAGAAGCTTCAGCCGTGCTGCTCCGGAAACACCGAGCACCACCTTCTCATCCCCCAACACCCCGACCGAGAGAATCAGGCAATCGATCGTCTCCCGCGACTCTTCATCCTCCATCCACAGTACCTCATCGAAAACTGATGCGAAGCCCGAGCCGCCCAAAGTTGACCCGCCTATTCAACGTTTCGTGCAGATGCAGAACGCCAGCGAAATGACCATCGCAGATGTGTCTACCCTTCTTGAGGATTACAAGCGGCTTGCTGCAGCATTATCGAAGCAGACCTCGAACTGACGCAATGCTGTCGGCGCAGCTACAACACTCATTTTGAATTTCTCTTATATTGATTCCGTGTATTATCATCTTCATGGCGTGGGACGTAGTAATCCTTGACGTTCCTTTGTGATCGGTTGGTTCTCTGTGAGATTGTGGGATCACTGCTGGCGTTCAGTGGTCCCAAACCAAGCATGTTGCATTTTCCAGCCAGTCGGGCATATTATCAAGTTTTTTGTCTAGCATTTTTCTCAGGACCAACAATGCGAAGCTTCTTCATCTTCTTTTTCTCCGAGAAAAGGTCTATATGTAGAAGGGGGTATATTGATATTTGTGTAGTGTTAAGAAAGAGGAAGAAACACGAAAAATGCCATGAACCCCATCGAAGCACATATTAGAGTTGGTATTTCCATCTGCCCATCCAGGGAATCAAACAATAGGACTAAAAGCCTGCTGCAAAATGCAAATTTGAGCCTCCTCTTCCTCTTCCGACTTCACATAAACATGAAAGAAGCACACTCACACCCTTCCCTACCTTTTCGGCAACTCTCACTGAGTAGGGGTCCGCCCCCGAAGAACCTCCGCCCCACCACTTTTCATATCCTTGAGCTTCCGGGACAACTCGGCGGATTGCTCCTCGACCAGCTCGTGCCGTCTCCGGATCTCCGCCTCGAAGACGGCGGCGGTCCGTCGGCGCGCGCGCCGCAGATCCTTCATCTTCGTCAACGTCGCGGAGAACTGGTCGATGAGGAGGTCGCCGTAGTCCTCCCATGCGTCCATCGTCAGGCCGGAGAAGAACTCCCGGCGGTCCTTGTCGGCGAGACTCAACAGGTGCGACATCTTCTCCTCGGCTTTCGTGTCGGGTCCGGGAGGCGCGATGCTTGGGGTTGTTGAGAATACTGGGGGAGGTGGCGTGGTTTTTGTTTCTGCGGGGGTGGCGGCGGAGGAGTTGGGGATATGGTCGAAGGGTTCGGATTGGAGGTCCGCGAAGGATTTTTGGCGGAGGACTTCGGGCGGGTAGTCGGGTTCAAGCTGGCGCTTTTTGGAAGAGGGGTCTTCTTGGAGTTTCGGGCTGGAGCTACTGTCTGGGCTGATGCGCTGGACAGATAGGCGGCGGGAGAAAGGATCGTTGATGGGATCGTGGTCGTGGTCGTGGTCGTGGTCGTCTTTGTTGTGGTCGTGATTATCATCGCGGTCGTTGTCCAGGTCGTCGATGTTGGTGATGTCAAAGGCACTCAGCGGGGGCAGGCTCCCTCGTCTCCTGAAGTCACTGTCGAAAAGGCCGTACTCCTCCGCGATGTCGCGATGATTTTGATCCTGATTCTGTTGTTGTTGTTGTTGTTGGTGGTGGTGGTGGTGGTGGTGATGGTGGTGACGCTGGTAATGACCGACTCCGCCTGCCACGTCCTTGCCTGGCTGGGGGCGTGGTCCAGACGTCCGGCGGGTCGGGGTCAAATCTAACTGTTCCAGGAGGGTGGGCTTCGGGGGGCTGAACCTCGTCCGGGGAGTCGCTGTCATGCTGCGTGGGAGAGTGACCTTTCGGCTGTTGCCGCCGGCTAGGGGCAAGACCTGACTGGCGGTCATCATCCTGGAGTCGGAGTGGGCTTGCCGCAGTGTTCCAGGACCGGAAGCCTTAGCCGGCTCCAGGTACACGGCGGGGATCGCGGCGGGAGCGTCCTCGGTGGGATTCTGATAGGTGCGACGGCTGGCGCTCCAGAAATTCTGCAGACGCTTGCTCAGGGGTTCGTTGGCCGTCGTGGTTGACGACCTGTAGCGCCGGGCATAATCCGCGGCGTCCTCGGTCGTGTCGGACTGCTCATCATCCCCCACGACGGAGGTTAACTGGCTCTCGGCATCGTCGGCCGCATCCCCTGAGTCGAAGCCAGCCGACTTCGGGGCGTTGTCGCCAAAGCTCGCGTACCAATTGGCATCGTGCGAGCGTTGCGGGGGATGAGACTGGGACGGGTGCGGTTGGAATATCTTCGGGTCGGGGGCGGCGTGATGCTGCGCTGTGGATGATAATTGATACTGAGGGGGAATGTCGTCGAATCCTAACACGCTGGTTGCTGCGATGGTCGAGTCATCAATTCCCTCCACGTCGGTGTCGAACATGTCCCTGTGCGCGGCGTCTTCGACTGGTGGTGGTTGCGGCTGCTGCGCATAGTGCTCAAATAGGTTGGCTTGATTGCCCGGTAGTGGTACCGGAGCAATCAGGTTGGTGGACGGTACTTCAACCCTTGCTTGGGCTGCTAAGGCCTGTCGGGATGAGAGATTTTGGTCATGATTTTGGGGTTGGTTTTCACTTGTGCGAGATCGCGGTTGGGCGCCGGGTGGTCTGGCATGCACATAGTCTCCCACGCCCATCGTCACTGACAGTGGTGGAGCAAGGCTCAACGGTCGAGAAATCTGAGTCGGGCAGAATGATCTCTTTCAGCAGGTTCATGAAAAGCGTCTTCGGTGAATGCTCAACCTGTACGCATCACAACAATTACATATGTCGAGAATCAGAATTGTAACATAGTCGTAGCGTCGTGGCAGTCATGAGTCTGGAAAAGTGGTCGAATCAAGTTGGTCAACGCGTTGGATTCTTTCGTCAGGCACACGAGGCAGCCACGGGGTCACGTGGTACAGTACAGCAAAGCCCTGTATGTACATCGATAAGAGTAGCCAGATGGATGCCTCGTTTTATGGATGCGTTTGTTCCCTCATATGTTTGGTTGTATGCTAGTCTCACTATTGGAAGTTTTGAAGTGGAGATCTGATTTTACATTGGGATTTTAATGTAGACCGGTCTGGGGAGATGCCGTTACATATATTCACATCATCATGTTTTGCACCAACAACATGCACCAACTAAGTCATACAGATAACACTAACTCCAATAGCCCATCGACTCGTTATCATCAATGTGGAAGTCATCAAGAGTAGAAGTTACCCCCTTGCCACGCTGCTTGGCTTTGTGGAAGAATTCTTCGGACTTCTGAGTCTCGGACGCACGCTTTTCCATCGCAAGTCTACGTTCGCGTCTATCCTGGATCGAATACTGCATGTTGTCGGACATCGAGTCTTCATCCTCGTCATCGGTATAGTAGTCGTGGTCAGTCTGGCCTCCAGGCACGGAGGACACAAATAGATCAGCAATCCAGCGTGACACCATTCCCCTAAGCTCTAACAATTCTGGAGAATCCGAATAGGGCGGAGAGCCAAGAATCTCATCCATTCTCCCCGCAATCTTTTGCGCTTGATTGAGCTCTGCTTTGCGCACGTCGGCAATGAGCGCGTGGGCCCTTTCCTTGGAATCACGATGGCCGTTGTGGTCGGAGGCAAGATCTTCATCCTCCGAATGCTGTCCGTATTCATCGGTATGACGAATCCAGATGTTCTGTCGACCAACCTCGCTCTCCTCCTGGGCCACATAAACCCAGAGGCCAAACATGGCAGGGTAGAAATGCAATGAGCTGATGGAGTCTGGAGAAGCCTTCCGGTATGGATGCTGGATGATCAGCCTCTCATAATACTTCTTGGCATCCTCAAAGCCCTTCCTTGTGAACATGAGCTGTGGACCCGACCCTGGTGACTGGGAACCGCCGTTGTCGCTTCCATTTTCAGCAGCCATGTCTGCGATTTGACGGCCGCGCCGGAGCAGAATTTCCGCACCAATTCCCCATCTCCCCTCAGTCCGCGCATCGATCGGTCTTCCATTGAATTCTTCTCGGAGAAGTAGTCCCCAGGCTCTTCCCGCTCGGACATAGTCCCTTTGAAGAAGACAGCGGTGCAATATGGATGTCAGCACAGCCAGGTGCTGCAGACGGAGGTTACCCTGATGAGCAGCAGACTGGGGGGGATATATGGGAGAAGAGAGAGAGGATAGCTTTTCAAGCACCCCTTCCCGCGTCTGTCGAGTGGAAGACTGGGTTTGTGCAGGTGCATGCGGAAACTTGCCGCCCGGTAATTCCTGGTCGAAAGACAAGCCCGCAACGCGGTATTGATGAGCTTCATCTGGTGACAAAGTCAGAGATGGCACAGGCAGCGCAACTTCCGAAGCAGCATCGGTGGTTTCTCCTAGGTCGTCATCATCATTGTCACCCCAGTCATCAAGGGTCTTCTTGCGCTTTTTGGCCTCATATTTAGCCACCCGTGCACTCTGAGGTTGCTGCCATGGAGGAAGCGGCAAGGAGAAGAAGGAAGCCGAAGGAACAGATGCCATGAAGATCTGAATTTTCGGAACCTGAGAACCTTATCTATTCAGTGACAATGTATGACGAAGGCAAATTAAGGTCCCATGGGGAGTGGCCATTTAGAGTGGTTGAATCTGGCTGGAAAATCAGACACGGTACTGCATGCAGACTTTCGGGTCTCCTCTTGGGGTCTCGTCCAGATAAGACCTTTTTCTTCTTCTGTTTCTTTCTTTCTTTCTTTTTTTTTCTTGTTCAAATATTCTCAAACACTGGCCTTCTGAGGCACCAGCAGCTGCTTGAGAGAGAAAGAAAGTCCTAGAGAATATGGATAACTGCACGAGTGAAGAGTGACCAATAATGGAGGGCTGATAGTGAGTTATCGGGATGATGGAGGATTGAGGATGGATTCATCCTTACCTTAGTATCCGTAGTGTCTCAAGTCTCAAGCACGTTACCGACTCTCCACGCTAAACTCAATTGAGCCAGACAAACCGCCGAAACCGCCATGATGCTAAGCCCTTTCAAGCCATCGGGCGCCCCGGACACCTCAACAGAACTCACCTCAGGCTGTAGATTACATACTATGGTATGTACTTACGGGGTAACTTACACTCCAGGGCAGCCTGTCTGTTACTCTAATTCGAGTAAGTATTGTATGTTAAGGTATCCGTTGTCTCCTCTTCCTCCTCCTCCTCCTCCCTCCTCCTGGGCCTCCTCCTCCTCCTACTCCTCCCATCCCATTCCTCTATCCCGTCATCATCGTCATCAGCCAGCCTCGAACCTCCCTCCGTCTTCGTGCTTCATCCCTGAGCTGCAAGGCTCACCTCCTCCTTCCATCCCTCACTGTCTCCCCTCTTTTTCTTTCTGCTTTTTTTCTTGTCCTCCTTTTCCTTCTTTCTTTCTTTCGCCGCTTGTACATACATACGATTGCACTTTACTCCGATTGTCGTGGGGTCTCTCCCCTCTCTCCCCTCCCCCCCCCCCCGAAAGTCGTACGGCATTAAATCCAAATACAAAAAACCCGCGCCATACACCTCCCCTTCCTGGCTTTTGAAAGGGTTGGCAGACACCTGCTGGCAGGCTGATTTTGACATCAATACTTTTCACATTTCGGAACACCTCTCTGGGAAACTTCACGATTCTTTGTGAAGTTGCGGACCGCGATTAGCACTTGATTCCCGTTGCTGCATTCTGTGACGCGGAAGAAGCCTAACGATTAGCTGCGACCTGAGCATTGCTTCCTTCCTGCGAACACACACCCTTTTCACCCAGCTCAGCCGCTTTGCTCTGGAATACCTCTCAAATCCTCTTGTAGTCAGCATCGGATGTCATCGGCTTGTTAGACAAACTGTCGAATGGTACGTATCTCCTGGGCACTACCCTCGTGTCGCCCACAAATTGGTACCCATCTGGTGGCGCTAGTTTGTGTGCGCTGCCTAGATGTTTGTCTTTCCAACCACGGACTCTTATCCTGACCTCTAGTTTCCTTCACCTTCCATGTGGATTCCAACTGGTTTGGACTGAATTGCAGCTGTGTATTGTCTGACTAATGCTGGTTTCACCTTTAGTCATCAATTTCTGGATGGCAATAGGCAGCTCATAAACATCCATTGCCACGGCCTACTATCGCCTTGCTGTTACTATGGGACAGTCTTCCTCAACGCAACGAAATCATCGTCACAGCACCCCCTCAGAACGCTTTTTCTCTTTTCACGCGCATCGAAGTCGGCTAGATAGGAATGAAGATATGAATCAAAGGCACAACTCGGATCAAACGGGGGATGTTCATTTCCCATCAGGAATGGAAGCGGACAACAGTGGAATTCAGCATGAACCGACAGGGGCCGAACAGCCTGAGACACGGCAGCCCATGATGTCTTCACTCGGCGAGCAGCAGCAGATGGGAAGCATGCACGAGGAGGACGGGTCGCAGTTAGGACAAAGCCAGCGGGACAGTCGCTCAGCCATCTTCGCTCGTATGGCAGCGAGAAGGCAGTCCACCATGTCTCGACTGGGCTCCAGGATCTTACCCAACTCCGTGATCCGTGGTCTACTAAGCAGCGAAGAGGAAACACCAGCAGAAGGTCACGCTCACCGCCATGGCATCGTTTCAAGGTCAGTCCCCAGAACTGAAACTACACACAGCAGCAGTCGGTTCAGCCCGTTCAGTGGGATCTCCAGACGACGCTCTGCACGTGGGCCCTATTATATTCCTCGCAGTGACCCCCTTCTTGATCCCTCCAGTCCTGGCGCATATCTCGCCGCCCCAGAAAATGGTTCCGAAGCCACCAGAAGCCCGTGGAGGCGCAGTGCTCGACTGAACCGTATGCGAAATTCAATCTCGGCCCCGATTACACACATGTTTGGACAGTCATCGAACATTTCAGGCCAGAACCTGGGACCACCGCCGCAGTTACCCTTGGGATCACTTCCCGGTGAGGACCATGAAGGCCTTCTTCCATACCCAACAGCTATGGATACACGGATGGACTTTGATGAGCCTCATGAACTCGATTCGGTGGAACCGGCAGTGGGAAGCTCTCGGCCAACCTCTCCCATGTCGCAGTCAGCGCAGGGTTCTCCCGGGTCACGACAACTTCCGGACTCACTGCGGGTAAGGTCATCACGCATGCTGCGCCGGGAGGAACAAACACCTTTATCTCGTGTACTTCAGCTGGCAGCTGCCGCCATTGCTGCCCAACTTTCTGGAACGACTGGGCCTGTTATGCCCAACATTCAATCTCTTGGTAATGATGGCCTGGATGGCTCGCTTGAAAACTTTATCCAAAGCTTGCAGCATGCAACGTCTGCACAGCAGCCTACTCATAACGATGCACCGACTCCCGCAGGGGATACTGCTCCCCAAACCCCAGTCAACTTCCTAAGGGTATTTCGATTTGCCAACTCGGACAATGCTCGGCCCAGTGGACCCGCAGATCGCCCAAGTGCGGATAGCGATAATGCAAGCGGTACTGGGACACAGATGGATGTTGACGGTCCTACCGAGGGTCCGGAAGGTCGCACGGTCACTTTGGTTGTGGTTGGGGTTCGCTCAGTCCCGTCAGGTAATGGCTCCACCGGTGAACAGGGCGGCAATGCGGCTCCTGGGCTCGATGCACTGCTTCGTCTGCCATTTTTGACGCCTGGAAACCTGTCACGGAGTCAGGATAGCAATTCGACTTCTCC